GGAAGGTGGTGGGAGAAAAGGGGAACAGATCACAATGATCAACATATAACACACCCCCAGGGGGATGAACAACAGCAATGAAGGGAGACAGTGGATGATGTAAATATGAAAACAATAACAATTTATAATATATGAATGGTTCATGAAAGAGGGAGAGTGGGGGAGGGAGGGAAAAAACGAGCTGATACCAAGGGCTCAAGTAGAAAGAAAATATTTTGAAAATGATGATGGCAACACATGTACAAATGTGCTTAACACAATAGATGGATGGATGTATTGTGATAAGAGCTGGATGAGCCCCCAATAAAATGATTTTTTTAAAAAGAGTTACAGTCTTAGAAACCCCCATGGGGCAGTTCTACCCAGGCCCTCAGGGTTGCTCTGAGTCCGCATCAACTCCTTGGCATTGAGCTTGGTTTGGTGAATGTCTGGCATGTAGAGGACAAAGACCACAGTTGCTAGATGAGAATCAAGCAGACTTGCACAATTTAACACATAACACAAGGTAATTGTTGCAAGGCTTTAATTTACACTTGATTTTCCAGGAATGCAACTTCTATGTCAATCAAGGCAGAGATTCTAAAATTTTTGCTTGACATTCTCCGGTGAATTAGCCAGGATTGCAGGAAGTCATACCCAGAGACCCCCTGCTTGCTACCTCATGATGCTGACACAACACACACTGATCTGCATTTGCAGCTGGTGATCCAACACACACAGGCACAAACAACGAATCAAGTCTACATTCCCAGGGAGACTATGCCCAAGCATTTTTTTATTGATTAGTACACACTAATTAAAATATGACTTATTTGATGAACACTTGCTTTCCTTCTTCCAGCTTTATATTAGGGAGTGGGGACTGAATTCATTATCTAAAATGACATGCGCCTACGGATCACCTCAACTGTGAATTTCATGTCAGAGACAGAGCTGACTGGATGGCACTGAACATTTCAAGGCAACCAGAATGAAGGATCTGTTGTAAGAGGACATGTTGAGTCTGGTAGGGTTCTCATGCGATCTCCTCAACTGTGTCGTGAGGAAACAGACCCAGAGAGGTGAAGAAGCTTGCTGAAGGTCCCAGAACCGACTTGATGACAGCCAGGATGATGGGTGACCTGGTCACCAACATTAATGTGCAAAGGAGGAGAAATGGAACCTCCCACGTCAGAGTTGGTGACCGTTAGGTTCAAGGAGTAAAGACGGAGGACATCTTCCTCTCTCCAGGTCCACTGCCCAGCATCACAGGTAAGATGCTTGACAGTTTTGTTTTGTTTTCCACCTGAAGTGCTGGTGTTGCCATTGAGCTCAGAGACCTTGAGCTATGGCCAACTCAGAGAGAGCGTTTCTCTGAAAAGCACACGGATAAAACAGTCATTGGTGAAGCTTATGTTTAAGGCTGGCTTTACCATCGGATAGGGCAGAAAGCAGGTTATCTCAATAGAGCCCTACTCCGTCATTCTCTTGACCTTGAACAACTCTCCACAGTACTTCTCGGTGATTGGATCACTGAGATGCCCACTCCATTTTCCACCAATAAATGGTGCCCTCGGTTTTAGACCATGAGTTCAGCTGTTTTCAGTTAGATGGAGTCCATGGGAAGTCTGGATTCGGAAAAACTGGATGGGCTTGGTAAAGGTGGGTTTATACTGTGCATGCGCATTGTAACAATATGGAATAGTAACAGAGGACAAACTTGAGGTGATTGATATTTACCCCAAAGCTGCCTTCTACCCAAATTATTGCTCCTGCTTTCCAGAAGCAAGAAACCCCTCTCACTGACATCAGTTTCAAACATAAGGTACTCAGCTAGGCTGAAATAGGGGCTCCAAAAGCAGTGACTGAGAAGCCAGGCAACTATATGGCCTCAAATCATCAACTTTCTACCTTTCTTCCTAGCCTTAGCTCGCTGCTACAAATTCCCCAACCTGAAATTAGGAGACTCTTCCAAATCTTAACAAATAAATAAATAAGAGCAGTGGATTTTGTTAAAAGCTAACACCAGCATTCATGATCCAATGGTCAATGTGTGAACTCAAGTGACCTGTTTGGTCTTTTGGATCCTGCATGGTAACGTTTTTTGTTTGTTTCCACTGTTGTTCATATCGTTTCCTACTCACCTACAGACATCTTGAACCTGTATCATGCCTCAAATGAATATGATCCTAAACACCTATGCAATCTTTCTTTTTATCAAATTAATGGCAACTGTCTCTATAGAATAAAGTAAAATGAAATTATGTCTAAAGTTACAAACCCGCTTAACCAAAACATTTAACTCTCTGTGCAGAGGGATACAGAGAATTGCCTTTTGACATTATCTTAAGTGAGGTCTGAGGCAGACGCAGGAGGCTGGTGGAGACACTGGCTATTGCAGATGTTCTGTTGCAAAGGAGCACATCTGGTCATTTTAAAACCCTAGGGAGAAAAGGTAAAAGTGCGTTACTATGGTCACTCGGTTAGAACTTAGTAGGGAAGGAAGGGCTTATGGCAAAGAAGGAGCTCATGAAATCTCTCCATTGGGGATGCCTCCTAGGGGATGTGGATGCTGACTGTCAGCTACCCTCAGTGAGCAGGCCAGAGACTTAAGACTTAAGGTAGAGGAAGATGATCCCTAGGAAGTAAAACTTTGGCTGCACAATACTGCCTACTGAAGGGAGTATTAAGAAGCAGAATGCGTGATTCATCTGAAAGCGTTCCTTTGCAATGCACGATCCAGCTGCAAGCGTCTACTTACTTGGCAATCCGCACCTTATTGGAGAAGGGCTCCGACTTCGAGAGAGCTGGAAAATAGAAGATGCCAACGTGAGCGCCACGTGGATGGAGTTCCAAGTCCGAAGCCTTCTGGCATAGCTTTTTTTCCCCCTCTCACACCAGCTAAGTGGTTTCTCTAAAGTACCTTGGAATTTGGCTCCTCCCACCTCCACCAAGATTGAGTGTTGTGATTTCTTTCATATTTCATTAAATTACATGGGCATTAAATCTGGTTTCAATTTTATGTAATAATTAAACGTTGGGCCCAATGGCCAAAGGGCAGCCATGTGGACTCTAGTGCCTTCCAGAACATAATTATTCTTGAAATAACTAATTAAAAATTCCCAAATACTCTCTGGTAGACCCTTCTTATAAGCATTATCTGCCACATTCAGAAACCTACCCTACTGAGGGGGCCACTTGGCAGCCAGAGAAGACTCTCCCTGTCCAGCTGTCGCCGTTCATGTTCATGAAGCCAAGGCATGCCACCCACCTTCTCAGAAATGACAAGACTAAATGCCTCATTTTGCTCTAGCTTTCAAACACTGCAGATACCAGATACTAATGAAGACAGAAAATGCTATGTATGCATTCAAGTCTCAAATCAGCCAAAAACACCGGTTAACCAAAAACATTTGTCTGTGACTACGGAAGCACACACCGTCATGTAGGAAGAGGAAGATGAGAAAAGAGTGTTGACAACAGTCTCACCTCTGAGAATACACTTGATCCTAGTTTGAAATTTGAATTCCTTGGCTCTCCCTGAGCACAAATGGAAAGAGAGAAGAGAAGAGGTGGTCCCTGCATGTATAGGGGCTAATGATAGAGAGCTATTACTAGGGCTAGGCCTTCTAATGAGAATCGAGACTAGAAATGTTCCTTGGATATATGTCCAACCCAGTACCATCAAGTTGATTCGGACTCTTAAACTCATAGCGACCTTATAAAACCAAACTCCCTGCCATTGAGACAGTGTGACTCATAGTGACCCTCTGTGGCTTTCCGAGACAGTCACTATTTACAGGAGTAGACAGTCCAGTCTTTCTCTGGACTGTCCAATACGGCTTGGAGCTGCTGATGGTTTCAAACTGTCGACCATATGGATCAAAGCCAACTCATAACCACTACACTGCCAGTGCTCCAAGCGACCTTGTGAGACAGAGCAAAACTGCCCCTTAGGGTATTCAAGGCTGGGAATCCTTGTGGAAGCAAAGTGACATGTCTTTCTCCCAAGCAGCAGCTGGTGGGATCTAACCACTGATCTCTAAGTTAACAGCCAAGTGCCTTCACCACTGTGCCAACAGGATCCCACCCTTGGCCCACTCAAAAAAAATCACTGCTAGTGAGTTGATTCCAACTCATAGCGACCCTGTAGGACAGAGATTAACTGTCCCTGTGGGTTTCCAAGACTGTCAATCTTTATGGAAATAGAAAGCCTCATTTTTCTCCCACAGGCTTTGTGCTTAGCAGCCCAACACATAACCTACTGCACTACCAGGGTTTCTCCCTCGTGTAAAAGTCAATCGGGAGTTAGTGTTATTGCAACAGGCTCTCTTTCTACCTTTATAATAATAGCCCCCATATTTGTTAATTTGGAGGTAATGCATATATCGTGTCATTCCATACTTCAATCACGTCAACCAGTATTGTATAATTGCGACCACAATCAGTTTCAAAACATTCTTTTCCTTCCTGGACTCCTTGACATCATCTTCCTTTTACCCACCCTCCCCACCACCGGCCACCGATGCACAACCCCCATCACCACCACCCCACCAGAAACCCTTATTCCACTTGCTGTCCCTATAGGTTCATCAGTCCTGGCTTTCATATACCGAAAAGCAGAAAAACATGTAACACAACTTCAAGAGGGTGACCCCCAGTGACATAACACATCTAAGATAAACCCTAATATGACAAACAAAACAAAAAATATAGAGAAAATGTTGAAATCCAGAACAGGTCCAGCATGTATCAGAAGGGGAATCAACCAATCAATAAAGCAATCAGGTTTATCCCTTTGATCTTCTATCCTCCTCAATCCAATGCCCTCTGTTTAGGTGCCACTCTCCTCCCAGCCCTCTATGATGGATAGAGGGAGAGTACCAGAAGTATGTAACTGAAGGATTGTAAATCATATACTCTGAAGTCCAAGGAGGGATTAGTATCAGAACCTACATTGTGAGAGTCCCGTGTGCAGAAGGCTGTGGATGACCGTGGGAGCCCAAGATACCTTTGTGGGAACTACATAGAAAATAAGCCTCTGGTGATCCTCTATCCATAGCTCCCATTTTTATAGGCAAATGTTGAAGCAAAGGCAGTGTTAACCGCAGGATGATTTTGTGTAATAAATGATTAGACAGATACTTACTGTGCTTAAACCAATACGGCTACGAGGGCAAATGGGACTTAGGCTCCGGCTTCGACATCGAGTTACAGGCCGAACTGAATTCCACTAAACAAGAGAGAACAGAGAAATAGCTAAAATCAAGGCATCCGTCCAATATCAGGAGAGGTTTGACTAATAGGATTACACCTGCTCATCACATCAGAATAAGTATACACTCTTTTCATTGGACATTTGTCCAATATTGGGTGATAACTTCAGTGTATTTCTCCAAATCCCATCACAATGAACTTTGGGACATAAAAATTCTTGTCACTACTTTAAATTTTGTTTTGAAGAGTAAGTAAGCAGTTGGAAGTTATATTCTGGATTTGCCAAGAGTTGAAGAACAGAAGCTTAAGGAGGGCAGGCATTGGTCTGTTTGGGTCAAGGAATTCCCAGTGCCTTCATAGAGTGCCAATAGTAGCTGGGCAGTAAATATACATTATCAAACAGAACAAGTGGAGGAAATAAGGAAGCTACCGATGCTCTACTCAGCTGCTCTCCCAGAACTAATTAAGCATACTATACTCATTATAATGACACCTGGTGGTACAGTGGTTACGTGTTGGGCTGCTGAACATTAAGGTCCGCAGTTTGAAACCACCAACCACTCTGTGGGAGAAAGAGAAGGCTGTCTACTCCCACGACAAGTTAGTCTCAGAATCCCACCAGGGAAGTTCCAGCCTGTCCTATACGGTCACTATGAGTCAGAATCAACTCGATAGCAGTGAGTAAGATACTCATTATAATGAAATTTCACTAGTAAAACCTTTCCTCTAAATTTCTCTTCATTTGCCCCTTCTCTTATTCAAATTCCTCCTTTTATAGGATTGTTATTTTGCTTTAAATGTTTAAGCTTGGGCCAGTCTTGGTGTTCTATTTGATGGAAAAGAAAAAGGGAGTTAAAAGGCAATTGCTATTTGATGCTAGAACCTAAGAATCATGCCTATGTCTTCTCCCTTCCTTCAGAACTGCACTGCAGAGTATAAATAGTTTATTAAAAGAGTTCTCTTTACAGGGATTGATTATTATAAGGCAAGCAGAACCTTGTAGGAGATTATTCATTGGAAAGTGTAGGTGGTGGTCAGGTCAATAAAGCCCAGTTTCTGAGTTCAACTCCCACAGTCCGAAACACTTTATGGAGATAGTATTCATTGTAATGGGATTTCTTACCTGGAAAAAAAAAAAAAAGAAGAAGCTCAAGTTCCCCGCTTCTTTATTTGCAGAAAGCTAGCACGAAGCACCTCCCCTGTGCTCCAAGGCAGAGAGGACAAGGACGGAGAACACCACGGGGTGGCTTTGCTCTCAAGAGCTGCACTTCAGAATCTGCTCAACTCCTTCCAGGAGGGGTCGGAGTGAAAGTTACATACTATGAACTGTACAGGAGATCTACACACCATTTCCAACACCCAATCCCCACCCCGGTGCATGTACACACACACACACACATACACCACATACCTAAGACTCTCAATGCTTGAAACTAAGCACACGTTCAAAGCAATCTGCCACCAACACACATAGAAAGGCATCTTCCAAACTGGTTGGCTGCTCTCTCCACTCCCCTCCCCCCCACCCCCTGACACATACAAAGGAGAGAAGCACAGGGCACACGTAGAGTTTCCAAAAACAGAGGATTTCCACTAAAATTTGGCAAAAGGCTTCCAGAAAGTCAATCAACCATTTTGAAAGCTTAGCCCGCTAGAGGGTCTCCAATCAAATGAATGCAAAGGGTTTTGCCCAAAAACAATAGCAAGTTTCTTAAGATGGAGAAGGCCAAGGTGATTAGTTCCATCTTACACATGAAGAAACAGGCAAAGAAGCCACCTCCGGGAAGTTACGGAGCATCCAAAAGGCAAACATAAAGAGAGGATCTGTTCATTCCCAGCCAGGCCCTGGTACCACACACTTCCTCCCCTTTGTATGGGACCTGCACTTAAGAACCCCTTGCAGACATCTTTTATAGAATCTCTGGGTTTATAAATGTTCTCGAACTTGTGGAGCAAACACTTGGGATGAATGTTCACTATGCAAGGCCACCGTACAAAAGCCCCTCTCTTGGTGACCGCCTCCCCCTTCATGAGGACGCAGTCATTCTCCATGAGAGCAGGCCACACATGGTAGAAGACCAAAGGGGCGGTGAAATCCGAGTCGTAACTGCGACGGTACCTATTGGAAACACACAGAGACCAAGAAAAAGAAGTTTAGTTGGGTAGCATTTCTGGGTGGAGGGGAGAGGGCATCATTTCTTACCTAGACAAATAGGAATCCTGTCTGCAGTCCTGAACAGGTGATAGTGGCTCTTGGAAGAGAGGACCCAGTGACAATGTGAACCCAGGGGGCACATCATATCTGACTAGTCCTGTTCCTTTTCTTCTCTTGGATTGCAAGATTTAAAATTCAGAGAAATGCTAGAGATGTATCACTAAATCTTCCTATGAGGATTCTCATGATTTTGTGGACAAAATAGGAGTACTCTAACCCACAACCAGTTGCCATTAAGTTTATACCGACCCCTGTGTGTGAGAGGAGAACTATGCTTCAGTGGGTTTTCAATGGCTGATTTTCTTTTCAGGATATCATCATGCAACCCCAAAATGTGTACGTGGCAATATGTCTCCAACCTGACACCAGCAGAGCTAGATGGTGCCCTGCTACCGCTACCAACTGTTTTGACCAGGTACACAATAGAAGGTTTCAAATAGGAGAAAAATGTGAAACACACTCAAATGCCTAAAAAAAAAAGTGGCCTACTGGATCAGTAGAGCTGAAAGGAACCCCTAAAACTATTACCTTAAAATATTATTTGAACTTCGACTTGAAACTTTTTCTGAAGTCATCTTTCAGCCAATTAATACATTGGGTATTAAAATCAATACCACTCCTGAGTAATATGCTCCCTTAAACAATTAAAAGAATGAAAATAATATGAATATTGGTACATTATAAACTTATAACCAATGTCACAGAATGATGTTTATAAAATTAATTAAAAGGTAACCTAATTTGCTTTGGAAACTTGTATCTAAAACACAGGAAAATATTATTTTCTTTGTAAAGTATACCACCACCTCTTTCTTCCAAAACACCTCTTGTTAAACTCACACCTCCAGCCTTCCAGTAAGGAACTAAGGGCTTCCCCATTTGGACCATTCAGTAACTCCACCGTCAACACACAAGGCTGCTGGAGGTTGGATTCCACCCAGAGGAGCCTCTGAAGAACTCTCCATGGTCTACTTCTGAAAAAACCAGCTGACTGTGGGGCACTCTTCTGCGCCCAGACGCGGAGCTGCACACGGCCATCGGGGCTGACTTGACAACCACTGCTCATAGAGAGATGATGAGTCCATTCGGTGAATTTGCAACTGGTTGAATGGCCATCTCCAGAGTGAGCATAGGGGGAAATTAATAGATCACTGAAAAACCTGAATTGAGGTGCCAAGGACCCTCCCTCCCTCTTGTGAGGAGCCCCCACTTTTGTCAATGACTTCCAAGAAACACAGGAAACAAGTTCAAAGATGGAGGAGTAAGAGAAAACAATCATTGGATGACAGCATCAAAAACAGCTCAGGACTCTTCTCTGACATAACCAGTCACCTCATGGAATTCCTTTTCTTGTTTGGAAGAGATCGGGTTCTAGTCTCCAGGGACAATTCAGCAAATGGATATAGTGTAATCCAAAAAGTGTATGTTCTACATCCTAGTTTGATGAGTAATGGCTGGGGCCTTAAAAGCTTGGAAGTGGCCATATAAGGTACAACTACCTCTATTCATCCGAAGAGAAGGAAGGAAACCCAAGAGCCAGGCAAGGGGCTGGGCTGCAGGACTCATTGTTTCCATGAACCATGGCCTCCTCCACCTTGTGACATCGTGCCAGGCTACCACTACTAAGCATTGTGGTCAGGCTGATAATAGCTGTATTCTGATAGAAAGGGTAGGAAATGTGGGACACAATTTGAAAGTCTAAAAATAATCCAGGCTGACTGGACCCCCTGAGGCTGGAGTAATAGCCATGAGACGCTCTTGGACTATCACCTGAAGTCACCATTGAACTACACAGCAGGTTAGCACAGCAAGGGAAAAATGTCACCCTTGAGTACTGCAAGCTTTTAAAAAGTGCCCTCACTGTAGCAGACCAACTGGCCTACAGTTCCTCTAAAGCCGAGCTGGGGAGGGATGTTAGAGGAAATGAATGGGGATGCTAGAACCAGGACAGAAATCATGAGAATCAGAAGAGTACAGCCACTGTCAACGAACGCTCTGTGTAGACATTGCGGAAGGGGAACCTGTTTCACTGTGTACCCTTTCACCAAAAATACTGTATAGCATTTTAAAATATGAGACACTCTATTAAAAGTTAGAAAATTGTATCCTATGGTTATAATAGGTCTTGGGTTCTGTTTGTTTGGGGTTTGGGGGAGCTTGTGACCAAACAAAATTGGCATCAATGAAAAAAGGAATGTGTACTCAGCTTAAGAAAACTGTAGCAGTAAGAAGAGATTCAACTCTGCTTGTCCAAAGTCCATTGCTCATTAGATAAGGAGCTTTCTCTGAAGCCAACTAGCCTGTGTTGTTGGGGGGAAAGGGTTAATACAGCTCAGGAGTAAAAAGCTGAATCTACTAAGAATGATGAGCTGAGCTTCTCAAGTTAGAAGACACTCAAACTACATTGCCACAACAGTGGGCTGGACCATATCGGGATGGAGAAGACGGCATAGGCCCAGGCAACATTCATTTTGTTTCATGTGAGGTCACCGTGAGTCCGGGCCAAAGAAAGGGTAACCAATAACCAAAGCCCATTGGAAAGCCCATTATTCGAGCAATTCGATTTGCTCAAGTGAACGATGCTTGGTCTTTGTCATCAACAAGCTTGCAGGGGAAATTGGACCACCACCAACCAAGCCTGAAAATAAAAACCTGGCACTAATGTTTCCCGTCTGCTCACCACCTGCCAGGTTGCTATCTAGTGCTTTATCTGGATTATCTCATCTAACCTTCTACTGGCCTAGGAAGCAGTATGACATAGAAGAAACAAACAAACAAACAAAAACTAACTTGACCAAGAGTATGCAACTAAGAGTGGTGGAGCCAGGAATCAAAGCTAGGCAGCTTGACACCAGAGCCTGCAGCCTTTGGGCTCTACCCAGGAAATCTCCAGCTATATCATAGGATCTTACAAAATTCTCATTAAAATGCATTTCATCTCCTCAAATTTAGAAGGGAAGTAATTACCATGCGTAACTTGGTAAAATCAATGTTCCTAGACAGAGGTAGGGCACTCCAAACCATCAAGTCCATTCTGACTCATATCGACCCTAGAAGACAGAATAGAACTGCCCCGTGGGTTTGTGAGGCTGTAAATTTTTAAGAAAGAGGAAAGCCTCATCTTTCTCCTAAAGAACTGCTGGTGGTTTCAAACTGCTGGCCATGAGGTTAGCAGGCCAAAGCATAACTCAGCACGCCACCAAGGTTCCTGGTCAAGTAGGCAGAGTTCTCAACTGTTAGCATGTATAAGGAACACCTGGGAGCTTGTTACATTACAGAGATCTCTGTCGCACCCAAAACCTACTGCATCAAATATCCTGGGTGGGGAGGGTCCCTGAATCTGCAGTTTTAGCAATCACCCAGTGTAATTCTCAGGCAGGTGATCCATACACCTTACTTTGAAATCTCTTGCCTAAACAATGCAATAAACCCCATCACAAAAGAACAAATATTACATGAGACCACTGTTATAAGGGGAACAAATACATTAAAAACCAAGACAAAGCCATTCATACCAAAGGAAACAGATGTTAAAGCCCATCAAGGTGGGAAGGTAAGAGAGGGAAGGTGAAACAAAGGGCCAGACTGTGAGCGGATGTTAACTTGGGTGTAGTACTATGGACTGCCAAAAGAACTAACAGATCTGTCTTGGAAGAAGTACAGTCAGAATGCTTCTTGGAAGCAAGGATGGTAAGACTTCATCGTACGTACTTTGAACTAACTGTCTCTGGAAAAGAACATCATACTTGGCAAAGTAAAGGGGCAGCGAAAACAAGGAAGACTCCGAAGGTGGATCGACACAGTGGCTGCAACGATGGGTTCAAACATGACTATAATTGTGAGGATGGTATTTCATGGTTTTCCATGGAGTCGCCATGAGTCAACCCAACTTGCCGGAGGCGCCTAACAACAATGGAAGATTGTTGAGAGGATTGCTGAAGAGAAATCCAAGAGCGGGCGAAAGATGAACTATAGGGGGGGGGACTGGTTAGTACTTCAAACTGTTAACTATAAAGTGGCTCACCCAAAATATAACACCCCCCACCTAATTTACAATAAACAATTGAAAAAATAAAAGTACTCATTCACAAGGGCAGTTCTCTGTCCCATAGGGTCACTGTTATTCGGAATGGACTGGGTGGCAAGGACTGAGAAGTCATACAGATGTGTATTTATATACTACTCTCCCTGCCACCAAGTGGGTGCCGACTCAAGGCCACCCTGTAGAACAGGGTAGAACTGCCCCTGTGAATTTCCCAGACTGTAGTTCCTTATGGGAGCAGGAAGCCCATCTTTCTCCCAAGGATTGGCTGGTGGTTTTGAACTGCTGACCTTGCACATTGCAGCCCAATGTGTCACCACTATGAGACCCGGGCTCCTGCCTATGTATACAGCACCGTTTTTTTAAGCACTCCAGATAAGCTCCAGTGATTCATGAGTCTTTCCCAAAGACCAGTATGGAAATCATAACATGCCCTCTGATTTACATCTTCCTCGGAAGGAAAATGACCCTAGGAGAGAGCTCTGCCCAGAGTATGGAGAAATCTATGACAAGTCTCAAAATCAGACAGTGTCTGCTCATTTCCACCGCCACCCCACCCCAAGATTCTCCAGCCATTAGGGCACTTCCCCCTAACTTGTCCTTGAACTTGTGCTCTGGTGTCTCTTACTTGCAGTCGTTGAAAATTTCTCCATCGGCCCCAAATGCAATATCCAGGGGCGGTTCTAGGGTCTGCATGGCGAAGGCAATGCAGCATATCTCCTGGATGAAGTCGCTGAGGAGGCAAAAGTCAACTTCGGGGGGGAACGAAATCTTGGGGTTGACATTCATGGCTCGGATCACATCCTGGAAAGCAAGACGAAGGGTGTCACCTGGGCATACCTCCACTGTGACAGCTTAACGGCATGGGGGAGAAAGGGTAAGTGCAAGTAAATGTAAGTGCAAGTCAGTTATTTCAGAAAAGCAGTGCATGGGCTATCAAGGGAAAGATCGCATCTCTCTTTAAGAGAGGACGGAAGGTGATACAGGGTACAGATGACATACGCATGGCCAAGAGTCCCGAAAACTCAGGAAAAGACCCTTCACTCATGTCTATAATGTCTTGCTTACATCATTTTTACATCTGTACGATGTGCCAACACAGAAATGGCTTGCTCGTATTCTGTGATTATTATTATTATAGTTTGCTTTCATTGAGTGTTTACTTCCATTTACTTGCTTTGATCGCGTGTGCTGAGTTTTGTACTGAGCAAATTACCTCCCTCCTTTCATGGAATCGTCTGTGTAATGTTCTATGTTAATCATTGTTGTTCCCATCTACAAATGAGGACACTAAAGCACAGAGTGGCTAAGTAAAGCAGCAATGTCACACAGCTAGCCCACGGCACATGCATACTTATCTTGCCCAAAGCTGATGCTTGGAAGCACTACAGTACTATATTTCCACTATATCTCCCTATTTTAAGGTCCCCACATAGACACAGCCTGTAGTAAATCACCTCAGTACAGTCAAGGGATGGAAATAGCCTTATTGTCAGACAGAGAGCACTGTAAAGACAAATATAGCGGATGTAGTTAGGTGAAAATGTAATTCCTTATCATTGATCTCCTTTGCCCAGTTTTAAGTTTTTTCAGTTAAAAAAAAAGTGAAGGGGAAATACGCGTGCATTCAACGTCCAGCGAACCACCCCCTTTGACCACAAGGAAGTACACGCCTTGCTCGCCTGCAGAGGGTACTGGAAAGTGGATCATTGCAGATGCAGGTAGGTTGAAGGTAATTTTTTGTATCATTCGATCTCTTTTTCACCCATTTAAAATGTGTCCTAGTTTTTAATGTTTTCTGCTTTCTTTTCCGTGGAAATCTTTCCCTGTTTTACTTTGAGAGTGTTATTTGGGCTTTTGGTTTTGCATGTTTTTCTGTGTATAAAATCCAGGATAGATAAATTATAGAGAGAACAACTAGATTAATGGTTTCTTGGGAGTATGGCCGGGGAGGTTGGGGCTAATAACAATGAGTACAAGAAATGTTCTAAAATTGAGTGTGGGGATGATTGCACAACTCTCTTTAATATGGTTGAACTATTGTATTGCGTGTTATACCAATCATATGCCAATGAAAATGTGTTTTTTAAAGGATATATAAAGCTCAGAACATTTATTCCCCATAAAGTACTAGGAAGCAAACCACCCATAATGACTGGTCTGACAAAGTAAATAGGATCTGGTGATTTCTTCTCTTCGATTACAGAGAATACTCACGACTGGGTGGATTTCTGAGTTACTACTGTGATTCAATGGAACGAGTATCATCAGTGAACCGTCCCTGGAATGGGGTTCCAGCACTTACATTAACACTGCTTTGGGCATCATATAGATCAAGATGACAAACGATATAATCCGAGACGACGTCTTCAAAGTTATTCGACCCAGCATAAGATGGAGTCAGTGTCTTTCTCACTCGGATCTTGAAGTGCCTGAATGCCATTTTAGCAACATGGAAGGCTTCCTGCACGGGAAAAAGCAGCACATGTATTTGGCCAGAGGAAAGGAGTAAGGAGATCCAAGGCAAGAAATTAGAAACCAAAAGCCCACTGCCATTGAGTCAACACTGACCCACAGCAACCCTCTAGGACAGGGTAGAACTGACCCGGTGGGCTTCCAAGACTGTAACTCTACGGGAGTAGAAAGCCTCCTCTTTCTCCCAGGGAATAGCTTTGGTTTCGAATATCTGACACCGGGGTTAGCAGCCCGATGCATAACCACTACACCATTGAGGAAGGAATTAGAAAGAGGTCCAAAATTCCAAAACCATATGCTTCTACTGATAAGCTAAGCGGGGTTCACGAAAAGTATTTCTGATCCGAGGGGGAAAAGAACTTAAATTTTGAAAAACACCTAAATACATATGTGACGATCTACGTTCATAATCCTCCATTGTTCTGAGAATCCTGAGAGCAGAAAGAAGCATCAGACGGATGCTCACGGAAATAAGCCCTCTGTGGTGACACGGGTATTTGAAAAGTATTCGTGTTCGTTGTGGCTATGAACCCGCAGCCATGCTATGCTACTGGTAAAGACATGAGAGAAAATTGGCAGTTTATTTTACATATAAACGCATAGCAGAAACAATGGCTCCTAACATATATTAATTCAACAGATATTTACCAAATGCCTGTTATGTAGTAAAACCAAACCCAAACTCACTGCCACTGAGTCAATCCTCCAAGCCACTCTATAGGATAGGGTAGAACTGTCCCTGTGGGTTTCTGAGACTGTATCTGTTTACAGGGGTGGAAAGCCTCATCTTTCTCCCAAGAAGCAGCTCAGGGATTTGAACTACTGACCTTGTGGTTAGCAGCTCACTCATAAACCACTATGCCACCAGGGGTGGGAAAACTCAGCTATACAAGAAAGACATTGTCTCTACTCTTCTTAAGCATTAGCTAACTCAGTGAGCAAAAACACTGCCATCAAGTGGATTCTGACTCATAGTTACCCTATCTAGTGTTTCTTAGGCTATATATCTTCATGAGAGCAGATAGTTCCTCTTTCTCTAAGGAGCAGCTGGTAGTTTTGAACCTCTGGCATTCCAATTAGCACCCTAACGTTTATCCACAGTACTGCCAGGGATCCAAGTCACTGAGTTTTATCTAACCCAGAAGTTGCTGGGGTTTCTTGTTTTGTTTTGTTTTGTTTTGTTTCTGTAAAGAACCAGATAGTAAGTATTTTAAGCTTTTCAGACCACATACCATCTTGGTCACATCTTCTTTTTTATTTTAAACAACCCCTTGAAAATGTAAAACCATTCTTATGTTCTTAGTTCTCCCATGATCATAGGACAAGAGGCTGGGGCTAGATGTGACCCACAGGTCAAGCAGAAAATAAAGTTCAACAGATGCTGATAATTCTGCTTTTACTCCAATTAAAAACAATCAACTTATTCTCATAATGGGCTTTTCATCTCAATTTGGTAGCCATAGAACAAACTACTTGCTTTGGGAATTTTGAATTGCCGGTGTGTTTTCCCTGTGTGGTTCCATTGGGAAACCCAGGACCTTCTGTGTGTAAGCTGATCCACTAAAAAAAGAGAAGGCTTTCTACTCCTGTGAAGGATTTACCATTTCAGAAACCCACAAGGGCAAGTCTACTCTGTCTTATCAGGTCACTACGACTCAGAATTAACTAGACGACAGTGAGTGTAGTGCGCCTGTATGTGTATTTTTTAATTTTTCATACTCTGTAGCAGATTTGCTATAGTCTTTTAAGGAACTGCTGCGCTTCATTGCCCAGCAGCCAGTTCTGACTCCAGGCAAGCCCATGTGCTGCAGGGCAGAATTGCTCCCTCCAGTTGTCAAGGGCATGTGATCTTTCCGGTGGAGATCAGCAGGTCTGCTTTCCAAGATAACCTCTGGGTGGATTCAAACCACCAACTTTTCATCTAACCGGCCAGGGCTTGATCAGAAGTTCAATAACACTGAACTTTTTAGGAATCACCCAATGATTGCCATTGGCACTAACAGTTACAGCCAGACTCAAGACTTTGTGGCCACATTAGGCAGAAGATATAAGGCACATCGGTTAGAGTCCATAGACCTGAGCTAGTACTGCAGGGAGTGGTTCTTCTAACAAACGTGTTCAATAGAAATATTGACACATAAGAGTAGTGAATGGAAGGTGAAAACACTTCACCCCAATACTGGTCATGAAAGGAAAGTGAAAAGGAGGGGCCGCTGAGGCTATCAGGAGCACAGGGACTTCCGTCTTTAAGGCTTGTATTCAAACAAGTAGCCATTTACTTGGGAACGCAACTAAGTCCACACAGAGGAAGCACACCAGCTTGTGTGATCCAAAGATGAAAATTACAAAATCCTAATGTGGTGAATAGAACAGTATCAGAGCTGAAATTAGGAACACACAATTGGTAGAAGGCTATGGAGGACAAGCGGGGGCCTAACCCCCATCTGCAAAGTATCTAGCAAGACCAAGCTGTTGGCAGATGCGCTCTAGCCAAAGGCAAGGGTCCTTAACAGCCTTACTATCAGGCAGAGACCATGGTAAGCTTGATTATCCTGGATCGAACTCGATCCGTGGCCAGTTGATCTCCCTATAGACCTGACCTGAATTTGTTCTGGGTGCAAGCATCTCTTAGCTGCTTCAAGACAGAAATTTCTTTCTTGGCTTTTTGGGTGTTGATGGGGGTCTTCTCCCTCTCATGTATTGGCTTCTAGTTTTGTCTTTATACTAATATGATCTTATCTTTACCCTCTTGGTATGATTTGTTCTCCATTGTCCTCTGTTGTTTCCAGATGTGAAGCACGGGAGGAGTGGAATTGTAATGAGAAGAAACGATGCAAGGGGTTACAGGGAATGCAGGATGCGGGTGGGGATGGGTGATAGGGAGGGACACGAGATTTGGGGAGTCAATAATGAAGGCTAGGGGCGTCGGGGCCTAGAACGAATCCTGGTGCACAACTCATTTTAAAGGTGATTTAACCATGGGGGTGGGAGGGATGCTCTAAGACAGATTGTGGTGCTGACTGTACAATTTCCCTTGAAACAACTGAACGATTGAAATATTCAATTCTATGATGTGTAAATTGTGCCAATAAAAATGCTGAAAAACGCATGTACAAAAGTGTATGTATGGATTGTTCTAAGAGCTAAAAGAGCCCCCAATAAAATTATATGTATATAGTGGGTGGGGGGAAGAGCATATTGGGATTTATCTGAGTCCTGGACCAACAAACTTGGGTTGGGGGGAGACAAAAGAAGGGGCTGATGGAGCCAGGGGCACAGTGGGAGAAAAGGTCTCCCCCTTCTGTGACCGGGATCCACTCTTTTTTTTAAGCTGCACTTTGTGTTTCCCAAACTGCGGGCTCCCCAAGGACCCGCGAGGCCCTGTTCCAAGGCCAGCCTGCCTGCGGAGCGGCCACCTACCACGGTGGCGATGTAGATGATCCGCTGCACGGTCTCTGCTTTGTCTATGCAGCGCCGCAGGAGGCACTGCGCATCCAAACGGGCCTGGGAATAGGCGTCGCTGAACCGGGACAGGAGGGCGGCCTTGCGCGCCACGCTGGACAACTTGGAGCGATTGGGGGACGGGGTTCGCACTTTGGCCACTGCGGTGTTGGGGCTGCCAGACCGGCTGGCCGGCCGGCTGTGGCTGCTGTGGCTGCGGCTGCGGCTGCGCGAGTCAGGGCTTGGAGACCGGCTCCGATTGGGCCTGTGGGTAAGAGAGAATCAGCCAGGGAGACGCCTTGAGTGAAATCCCCTCTTGATCCTGGACCTTGGTCCTCCTCCCCACAGAAACCGCAAGCGACCCCCAGGCCCGTGCTTACCCTGCAGGCTTCCAACACGACCACAGAAACAACAACAACGGGCATTTACTCGCTGGGTTAGACTTTCCAGAGGGCCTCTGACTCACTCCGCATCTCAACTGATCCCCCAGATGCAGGACAACGGGGACATCTCCGGGAATGGGATGGGGCAGAGGGCTGGCAGAGGAAGGTGGCTCTGATAGTGGGACTGGGGTGGGTGTGTTTAGGACCAGGAAAATGGCCTTCCTCTGGCCTCAAACTCAACTCTCATGAGGACCTCCCTTCATGTTCTCAACTCCATGGGTTGAAAGAGATCTCACAGGTTTGCTTACCTGCAAATCCTATGCGGCAAAGTCAGAAAGGAAATCAAAGGTCTTGGGACCAGTCATAGGGACCAGTAACATGGTCACCCTAGAGAAGGGGACCCTCACATCTCAGAGAAAAGGAGACGACTATTAGGGAGCATGCTTTCAACCTGGGTACCACCACTGACATTGTATGCCTGCCCAAATCTGTTTTCAAGCCGAAGACTTTTCCTTCATCGTCTCTCCGAGAACCCTTCTGTCCACATGAGCCCCAAATTACTGAATGCTCAAGTAGGGACAATCCAGGAGGTGTTCTCTCTCTAGAAAAAAGCCATCCCTTTACAATTCAAAGCTCCCCATCATGGTCTTGGTTTGGGGTCTCGTTTCATTCGGCTCTCCCCCAAGCCAGGCTTTTACCACAAACTCAACACCCGAGGCATCCAAAGGAGCTTAAATAGAAAGGCCCGAGAGTCTGCAGACCTTCCTTGGAGGACATTCTTTTCGGCAGACAGAACAGCTATCTCGTCCTTGAGCGTGCGGAGCTGTTTCTCGTAGTCAGAGATGACTTCTGGGGCCCGTGAGTCTGCGCTCCTCCAGTCCAAGTTCTTGGCGTCTGTAGATCGTGCCTCTGAAGATCGTTGCTCTAGGGGTCTTGACTCCAGGCTCCGATGCTCTGTGTTCCTACCCCGCTCTGTGTAGAAATCTGAGTTCCTGTGGCGAGTTTCCTCTTGGGCTTGCAGAGATTTAAGCCTGAACAGCGAGAGAGAGAAAAAGAGAGTGAGAGAGAGAGAAGGAAAGAAAACAAAGGATGGGAGACAGGGGAAAGTAGGGGGGGAAACAAAAGGAGGAAGGGAAAAACAAACAAATAAGCCACAGTTGGCATGTGTAACAACAAAGATCCCTCTAACTACTATGGTATACCATTACTGGCTTGGAGAAGTGAAGCGGATATAGATGTGCAAACACAAATTAGCAGAACAAGACTGTCAGAATGCCCTGAGACTTGAAGAACTGCATGGTGCCCAGCCACCATTTCTGAACATTCTGATCAAAGATTTGACAGTCAAATCCTGATCAAAGGGGGGAGAAACACAGAACATAATTTCATTTCTCACGTGATCTAGACTTTCTAGAGCAGTTGCGGAAGAATAACCCCCAGAAGGACTTCCTTGAGATAGCCTTTACACCTTAAACCAAAACTCTGCTCTGCAGTCTTCGTTGAACAATAGTGTGGCCTGGTCAGTAAATTACTTCTGCCGTAAGCATTGTGCGCTCTTAAAGAACCATCCGTATGGACTCAAATTAAGAACAACTTGAAAGGGGAGATGAGACACTTAGGGGCAGTGAAAGTATGTCACTGAACGCCAAAACCCAACTCCCTGCCACTGAGTCCATGCTGACTCAGAGTGACCTTGAAGGACCAAGTCGAACTGCCCTGTGGGTTTCTGAGCCTGTCACACTTCACAGGAATAGCCGGTCTCGTATTTCATAAAAGGGTAGCCAGAATGATGGCACAGCTTGCAGAATTTGAACGAGTGTGCATACGGAAATTGTTGAAATGCTGTGCCTTTGCTGTGTACATCTTTACTGGAGAAAAGAGGAAATAAACTATTTTTTTTAATACAGAACGATTAGGGATCAGGGATCCCCATACAGGTGCAGATTTCACAGAACATGATTCCTGCAACCAAAAAGAGAATGCTCATACTGCTCCTCAAACAAAAGCAGTCTGCAGTAATGCTTCTTTCTCTTGACTGAGCTTAACCATCTGAAAGCACCGGATCTCCAAAACGTACTCCGGGGGCTGGCCTGAGATGGAATCTCCCACCTTCACTAGCTCTTTGCTTCTCTGAACAGGTGGACACGTTTTAAAAATCTATCAGCATGAAGTCAACTACAACGCATCGCGAACCTATATTGGCTCTGCCGAGCAGAGTGGAACTGCCCCAGAGGATTTCCAAGGCTGGACATGGTCACAGAAGCAGACTCCCACATCTTTCTCCCGCAGAGCTGCAAATGGGTTCAAACTGCCGACCTCTCCATCAGCAGCCAGTGCTTAACCACTCCATGGCCAGAGTGCCTTAAACAGATGGACTCTGGAGGGAAGTGCCGTGGAAACTGAACGTCCACAAGACTAGGTGGAAAGTTTGGGCCTCAGAAATAAGTGGTGCAGACATAAGCCAACCTACCTTTTGAAACAGAGTTGGGGGTCTTCATTTGTGATTTGATTAAAAAGGCAAGACACAATAAAACAAGAGCTAAATAAAATAAAGTCAGCGGCTACAGAACCCGCTGGGGTGGAAAAAAACAACGGTGCATGATGAGAAGGTAAAGGGTCCAATTAAGAAGGCTGGAGGGAAGCTAAAAAACGCGAAAGCAGAATTAAAAGCTGCACCTACAAGCAGTCAGGCATGGAATGAGCGCTACGGAACCTAATGGAAAATACACCAGTGAGCTCGAGAGACAGCATGGCATGGCAACTAAGACGTGAAAATCAGGAGACGGAGGAGGGACGTGAATTCAGGGCAGACCAGACCTTCGATCCAAGACTCAGGGTTGCTCTTGAATCCAGGACAATCGGATCATGGCTGAAAGCTAGGGAAGACATTCACAGGGCTGCTTTAGGTGTTCTTAAGAATAAATAAATAACAGTATAGCAATAATGAAACCCACAACCTTCCTCTGGTTCTTAACCGCTTCCTCCCCCCAACTACCAGGACCCCAATATTGCCTTGCAGACCTGGTTAGACCAGATGATGCACAGCGGGACAGATGGGAATCAGAAACGCAGGGAATCTAGGACAGATGAACCTCTCAGGACCAGTGGTGACAGTGGCAATACCAGGAGGGAAAGGGGGTGAAGAAAGGGGGAATGGATCACAGGGAGCTACATATAACCTCCTCTCTGGGGGACGGGCAGCAGAAGGGTGGGTGAAGGGAGACGCCAGACAGTGTAATATAAGATACAATAATAATTTATAAATTATTAAGGGTGCATGGGGGAGAGGGGAGGAGGAAGGGAAGGGGAGGGGGAACCCAAGAGGCAAGCGAATTTTGGGAATAATGAGGGCAACAAATGTATAGATGTGTTTTATACAATTGATCTATGTATTGTGATGAATTGTATGAGCCCCAATAAACTGATTAAAAAAAAAGAATAAGTAAATAAACCTTCATCTGCTTTTATAAGAAACCATTGAAATAAAGAACAAAGAAGGTATAACCTTCAGGAATGGGTATTTATTTTCCCTTGTAAACATGTACCTTTAGAGATTATCTGAACTTTGAATGCAGATTTGTCACAACAATAATTAATCACGCTATTATTTTAATGTTGAAAATGAATGGATCATCAAACAAACTATCTGATCTCAGGGAAATACCCCAATTATGCACCTATTTTAAACCTCAGCTCTGCAATGTTTTTTCCTCAGCGATGGTCAAAAGCAACATTAGGTGAAAATGTTGGCTCCACGCTTGTGTGACTCTGAGGGGCTTCAAAGAGATGGTGCAGAAACTGAAAGAACAAATCGAGGAATTTCCCAAAAAAACGTCCTGAATCCCCCTCAAATGGACTTCATTCGGTAGTTTCAACATTACTTTTAATACATGTTCTGGAAGAAATATAAAAATGGTGACTGACTCTGAAAGGAATGTTAAAAAAAACCCACTAGAATACATATTGCTGACTTTCCTGCGTGCATTGGGACAGCTTGCATCTGGTACTGGCATACCCAAAGGGGAGGGAGACGCTAAATTTAAAGATTAATCTGCAGGCTGCAATAATTCTGCCATTTTTTCCTTACTGCTTTTTTAGCTGATTTATTTCCTCCTCTGCAGCCAAAAGGGTTACGGCCGATCTGTTCTTGGTCTCTTCAAGAGTCTTTTCCGTCTCAGTCAGACTGCAAGAGATATCAGCAACTATCACCGCAGGGCTTCTCTAAACCAGGCACGCGCTCTCTGGGGCACTTTTGGCGTATGACATACATTCAGCTTCAACAAAGTTGAATCCTAAGACATCTGCTGTCAATCCCATGAGGTTGGAACTACTGCTGAGGATTCGAAGGCCCAAACGTGCCAGCGTCCTTTGCTCAAAGTCCAACTCTTATAAGAAATTGCGGAATCATGTTACCAAATAGACCAGGTAACAATCATTCATAGTAGCAGATAAAGAACCAAGAAGCACCGCTAGGACTTTCTTTCCACCCTCTTTCTCCCCCCAGGCTGCCTCTCACCTATCAGACCTCCATTTCCCTTCAGTGCGCCAATGTCTTCTCTCACGACGTGGCGCTGTGGGGTGAATGTGCCCTCCAACTCACTGTCATTGAGTCAATGGCAACTCATAGGAACTCTACAGGACAGGGTCTTATTGCCCCCATGTGGGTTTCCGAGACTGTAACTCTTTAAGAAAGTAGAAAGCCCCGTTTTTTCTCCCATGGAGTGGCTGGTGGTTTCGAACTTCTGTCCTTGGAGTTAGCAGTCCAATGTGTAACTGCTATACCCACCAGAGCTCCTCCGAATAGTTCCAGACCTCCCAAATGTAAAAACCTTATTTTTTCACCTATAATGAATTAATAAACCAAATTAATTGCTATCAGGTCAATTAGAACTCATAGCGACTCATGAGTTTCCAAGACTGCAAATCTTTATGGGAGTAGAAAGTCTCATCTCTCTCCCTCAGAGCAGCTGGTGGATTTGAACCATCAACCTTGTAACCCACAAGTAACCCACTACACCATCAGGACTCCTGTGACTCCATGAACAAACTCCATAAACAAAGTCACTTTTGTGACTTCCTGCCGCTGACCTTCCACCACCAATTGAGCAGTTTGCCTGAATTTTCAGCAAAGCTCAGTCATTGTCATTTCCAAGGGCTCTCTTTGTTGTAGGCAAGTAATCTTTAGCTCTATCTTAATTGTAACAGAAGTGGAAGTGGGGAGGATGGCACTGGATAAAAGCCATTGAGATTAAGCTGCCCTGGGAGAGTTCATGGATTGGCCTGGGTGTCTGTGATCTCTTGGATTCTGCCTCCAGAAACCACCATCACAGGAGCCCTGAGGCAGAGTGCCACTGCTACCTCCACTCAGAGCAGCGCCCCCCCCCCTATAACCTAGAGAACTGAGGACAAGCACGGCAGGGACGCTCATCTAGGGAGGAGTGAAGCAGACTCCAGATCATGAGAGAGCAGCAGGGCTTCAGTCAAATGTCAGCCAATCAGATCCTTACCGAAAGTGCTGTGCATTATCCAAAGTTCCATCCCACCTCCTGTTCCTCCTCCTCCTCTTCCTCTTCCAAGTGCCACTCCACATATCACCCCACTTTCAGGCATCATCTGCCTTCCTCCGCTGTGCTCCTCCAGCACTTGGTTCACACTTATAATTTCATTAGAAAGGCACTGTGAACCACTGAGGGCAAGGATCAGGTCTCTATATCTCTCAGTCCCCCGCACCTCAAGTAATGCTTGCCATATAGTAGAATACACACACACACACACACACACACACATATAACTGAAGGAATGGACAAAATGTCTTCAGCCTAAAGAAAAAGCAAATGGAGCAATATCTTCTTAATTAGGGTATTGGAGGTGGACAGGAAATTGCTGTGAACATATTAACCGTTTTTTAAAGTACGAGCAGTCTTATCCAGAGAACACTAAAAGAAGAATGTGGTCCAAGAAAGGAAGGAGAGCATTTACCCTGAAAAAGGAAATAAGAAATAGTAGGGGCTTTCTCACCCCCAACAACCACACAGCATACATGTGCGGTCCCATTCCAAGGAGGGTGCATGTGCTCATTTGGCACGGCTGGATGACACACAGAGAGAAGAACGGGACGTGCAACCGTGCACCAGGCATTGTTGAAAGCAGTCGGGCACACTGTATGTAAATGAAGCAAGGGATTGAGGGCTTCCTAGGTGCTGGGCACAGAGCAGGATGCTCGAGATTCAACGGAGCCAAACTAGCAGCGAGACCAGGGCTTAGCCCCTTGGAGTCTCCAGTCTAGTGGGGGAGGGAGATCAGTCTGCAAACAAATCAACTGCTGGAAATCCAAATGGTCGGAAGCGCTTTGAGGAGAAATCCAGATCACAGTGCCAAGAGGACTACGGGGGCGGGAGGAGGGAGGACCTTTCGACATAGAGAAGTCCGAGGAAGAAGGACCCTGAGAAGGGGCAACAAGTAGGCCGAGCTCTGGAGGATAATTAAGGAGCTGGGCAAGCAACGAGCCAGGAGACTATCCCAAGGAAACAGCCGAGCGGGCCTGAAGAAGACCACGGGCGGGAGGAGGCTGGGTGAGGCAGGACTCACGTAGGAAATGAGGGCGCCGGGCGAAGCAGGGGGGCACAGAGCACTCAAAGCCTGGACAGTCCCGGTCACTGCTTTGAAATGTTCTCTCAGAACAAAGCCAGGCTACTGCTGTGGGGGCTGGGAGGTGACTTGATACCATTTATTTCAAAATGATTTTTGATTGCTGCTGTGTTGGAGGTAAGTGTAGTTGAGCCAGGGTAGAAGCAAAGAAGCCCGTTGGAAGGCAAGAGCGATCAGAGGCTTAGATGAGGGCAGAGAGTGGAAGCGAAACAAAGAGAGAAGCTAGAGATGCATGCATTCAAAGGACACCCTGATCAATTGACGGGGGAAAGAATTTCATGACCAGAATCCACACATAAAATCTCGCGCGGTTGGTTCTCCCTTGTCTAGCCTCCCTGCCCACTCTACTCTCCGACCCCCCCACCTCAAGCCTGAATAGAGCTGTCCCTATTCAACCCCTTATTGGAATGTGCCCCTTGGGAACGGAGTCCTAACCAAACCAATCTCCACCAGGTTAGAAATGAGGACGCTCAGAGGTGGGTGGCCCATTCATTTCATGGAGGGAGCACCCTGGCCCGAGACAAGCCGGCGAATAAGCCAAGGAGGGCAAGGCTGTCTACCATAGAATGCAGGGAAGAAACAACATTGTTTTTGTAGTGCTAGACATAACCATTAAAACATAGAATAAGAACCACAGGTGGATTTTGAAACTATTAGGAAATCTGGTGGAAAACAGAAAGCAGTGTTATGTATACACCATTCAAGTGGTTGCGGGGGCAGGGAGTGAAGGGGAGGGAGCCTGTCTAAACATAAAGAGGGCAACAAAGAGCATACATAAGGCAGCATACGTACGACAAAAGAGAGGTGAAAGGGCATATGGATGTTCTTAGTATCATACTTGCAATTTTCTGTACGTTTGCTATGACTTCCAAATGGAAGCTAGAGCAAAACCATATGAGCTGGACAGCTTCTCGGTCCATGGCGCCTCTATGGGTGGCAACAGAATCATGGGTCACTCACTCATGGCCATAGTCACCACTCTCAGCGAGTGGGTTACAAGTAGAGCTACTACCCGCAAGGTCTGGAGTTCGATCCCACCAGCCATTCCACGAGAAAGGAGAGATTTTGTTTTTAAGGGAAAATAAAGAGAAAGATGAGGCTGTCTGCTTCTGGAAGGATTTACAGCCTCAGAAATTCAAACGGACAGCTGTACTCTGTCCTATAGGGTCACTATGAACAAAATAGTAGAAAAAATATTCCAAGCTATGGCAACTCCTTTCTACAGAATAGA